AGCCTGGTGTCACCTAATAGCAGGTGAGCTGTGAAGGCTGGGANACATCCCCCCTTGCAGTGTTAGTTTCTTATTTAATGCCCTGTGAATTGTGAATCACATAGAGAGAGAGAGAGAGAGAGAGAGAGAGAATAGAACATATAGAGATGATAGATAGATAGATAATACGTATAGAGATAGATAGATGATAGATAGATAGATAGATAGATAGATGATAGATAGGTAGATAGATAGATAGATAGATAGATGATAGAACATATAGAGATGATAGATAGATAATACATATAGAGATAGATAGCTAGATAGCTAGATAGATAGGGAGATAGATGATAGGTAGATGATAGATGATATGGATGGATGGATGGATGGTTGGATGGATGGATGGATGGATGGATATAGAGATGGGCAGGGAGATAGACAGACCATGGAAAATGTTTTCTTGGACGTTGCTGTTCGGTGTTTCCCCCGATCATGTTTTGAGTTTTGTTACCATCTTCCGCATTTTCTACGCGGCCACGGGCCGAGTGCTGAGCAGGAAATAGGACAGGCTCCCAGCCAAGGGGCTGACTTGCCCTGGTGGGCCTTGGCCCTCTCACACCGGTCAGTCTCCTAGAAGCCAGCGTCCATCATCTGTGAGGGGTGGGGAGAGGCTGGCTGTCTTAATGACCGCACAGCTGGAATGTGAGGCTGACACACTGGACTTCAGAGGGTTGCGCAATTAATTGTTACATCTGAAAACATCGTGAACCTGCTGCAGACGTGTGACTTATCATGCAGAAGCAACCCGTGAGGGTATAGGACGGCGATGGCGCATTTAAATGTGCTTTGCTTATTTGTTAGCACAAGTCTCATCTGCCTTTATCTTGCTTCCTTTTAATTGTTTCCAAATGTGTCCCCTTTTCAGAGAAATTAGGTCATATTGAAAGACAGCTCCAAGCAGGATTGTTTTGCAATCGCTCAGCCTCACAAGAGAAGTTAATTCTCCATTTTCAAGCTTAACTCTCCGTGCCTGTAGTGACTGTCCCCTCCCTTCTTGTCCCCTCGTACTAGCGTTTGCCCACGTCGAGACTTGCGCGGGGCCCTGAGTCACCGCCCGCCAGCTCTGCGCGTCTCAAGTCTGGGCAGCTCGCGAGGAGCTGGTTGGGGAAGGTCAGGCAGGCGAGGGCCTTGCCCCAGAGGCAGAAGTGAAGGAGGCAGCAAAACACTCGGTTGTCAGGATAGACGGTATTTTAAGAGAACATTTTAAAATATCAAAATTAATGTGAGCAACCCACAGAGACAGAATAGCACCCTTGTGAATAAAGACCGAATCCTTCCAACTGACGTTTCCTGTGGCCCCAGGCCCCCACGTGGCTTGTCACCACGCAGTTATTCATCATGTTGTTCCTTAAAAGTTTGACATTTTGGTCATTGTGGACTTTATGCATTAATTTAGATTTGTTAACGTTGCATTTGAATATTATTTTATCTTGATTCCTGAGCTCTGGGTGCCCCCTTTAAATTCTGCACCCAAGATAAGTGCCTTACTCTCCTGGTCGCCCCCGTCCCCGCCCCCACCCCCACCAACACTGAGCCGCCTTCCCAGCCGCCCACTGGGGCCCCTCTGCTCAGTGAGGGGCAGGTAGAGATATGGCAGCGGGGACGAGCACTGGACTTGAGTCCAGTTGTGTGGAGCCTGGTCCTGCCTCCAGGGGACCCTGGACAAGCTGCTTGTGACCCTGTGGACGCCAGTTTATTCCTCTCTCAAGTGAGGGGCGGCCGTGTCCTAAGCCACGTCTGGCCCTCTGCTCGAGCATCGGAGCCGCCAGGACCAGCCCACTCTCGGCTCTGCAGACAGACACGCTTAGGGTGGGCTCCAACTCCTGTTGCTTCTCTTTTCTTGCCCACTGCCCTGAGAAACTCTCCCAAAAGCTGTGAAAGGGAGACGGGTGAGTCTCAAGTAGTGGACCCAAGTGAGTTTGGACATTTGTGTGTTGCTGATCAGGCCTGAGGTGAGCTTGGTGAGGACAGAGAGGGTCGGGCACTGGGGATCAGTTCAGTGGGGTGATGGAGGCGTGAATGCCGGAGGGCTGGAGTGACTTCCTGAAACTCTGCCTCAGTTTCCTTCTCTGTGACACGAGGGTGCTCCCGGCCCCCATAGGATTGTCGTACAAAACCCGTGAATGGATGAGGTATGTGCTCACCTGGCCCAGTGTGCACGAGAGGTGCTGGAGCTGCTGTCCCCTTTAGGGTGACTTCTGTGACTGTCCAGGCTCGCAGTCTCCACCCCCAGTGGCAGGACGCTGTCCTAGCCAAGTCTGTTCAGGCCCCAGATTAAATCCCTTTAGGCCAATGCCTTCCAGGCCAGGAAAACCCCCTCTCCAGACAGGTTCTTCTGAGAGCCTCTGTCCCCACAGGTGCCTGGGGACAATCATAATGTAGAAGGGCACAGGGGAGGTGCCACCAGGAGACATCCCAGCACATCCACAAGCCAGAGCCGTCC